CAGTTGCCTGCTAACCTTTTAGGAGAAGATGTGAGGGTAGGATTTGCGAAGTATGTAGAGGACAATGGTGTACGGTGTGTGCTTATAGAGTGCAACCGATTGATGACAACGGTCCGTGGAGAGTTGACTTGGCACTTGAGACACTGGTTTTTGGCAGAGAGAGGTCTCTCGCTCGTACGTGGCACGCAGTCGGATCACAATAACACCGCGCGAAACGATATTCGTAGTCAAATGAATAAAGACAAGACATGGAGAAGGAAGGGCGACAGGCCATGGGGAGCAGAACATTTTAAGAGGGCACTCACAAAAGGTTTTCAAATAAGAAGGGATGACGGAAAGCTTGGCGTGACCTTGCAGCAACTACCGTTTACCGAACTCGTGAACAGACAAAGAAGTCAAGCAAGGCGTCAGATCAGTTGCTGAAAATGACCGCTGTTAAGAACGACATAGTCAATACAATACGGAACCGGTACACAGTTATGAGTTTCTGCATTTTCAAGCTCGACCGCAACACACGTGTGGCAGATGTGGCAACACAGTACTACAATGCAGGCAACAGAAAGACAGGGAAAAGTGCAGTCGACGACAAGGGCAACACAGTACATGACTTTGAATTCGAAGTCTTAGCCCCGCAGACGCAACCGCAAGCTTCATGTGTAGGACCTTGAAAATCTTTCCTTGACTGACACTTTTGTTATTCTGACGGATGGGACATGACTCAAGATCTGGTGGGATTGCGTGCCTGCAACTTGTATCACAACGACACATCTAGAGAGAGAGAGAGAGAGAGAGAGAGAGAGAGAGAGAGAGAGAGAGAGAGAGAGAGAGAGAGAACGACACACAAAGAGAAAGATACAGTTTTGGAGTGTGGACACAAAAGATTTAGCTCGGATCTCATGTGAAAAACCGAGTTACTGTGGCTGGGGTAGGCAGAGTTGCGTGGTGGGTGCCACTTCTTATGACAACGGTGCATTAATGTAATTATGTGGCCCCCTGTATAGAACCATGTGACTGGAAGTGGCCTGCAGTTGGGAAAGGGAAACAAAGCAAGACTCGCTTAACTGTGGAGAGAGAGAGAGAGAGAGGGAGAGAGAGAGAGAGAGAGAGAGAGAGAGAGAGATGAAATGAGAAACAAAGACACCCTATTTATGGATGATTTTGACATCAATTATTATTCGTGGACACATAAGTAATTGTCTGTTCGTATTCCTGAGATAGCTAACGTCTTCGTATATGACTCCCACTTCCCAACTTCATCGTCACAACTGTAACAGAGAGAGAGAGAGAGAGAGAGAGAGAGAGAGAGAGAGAGAGAGAGAGAGAGAGATCCAATTTAATATGAACAGTAAACACACAAGGAACCCCGCATGACGATGAGGTTGGGAAGTGGGTGCCACTTATACCAGAATACGCCTACAACGTCTTCGTATATGGCTCCCACTTCCCAACCTCATCGTCACAAGTGTGGGTGGAGAGAGAGAGAGAGAGAGAGAGAGGGGGGTAATTGAAGGGAGGGAGAGAGATTGAGAGAACGTGGGTAGATAGATAGATAGATAGATAGATAGATAGATAGATAGATAGATAGATACATAGATACATAGAGAGAGAGAGATATAGATAGATATATAGATAGATAGATAGATAGAGAGAGAGAGAGAGAGAGAGAGAGAGAGAGAGAGAGAGAGAGAGAGAGAGATGAAATGAGAGACAAAGACACTCTATTTATGAATGATTTTGACATCAATTATTATTTGTGGACATAGAAGTAATTGTCTGTTCGTGTTTCTGAGATAGCTAACATCTTCGTATATGGCTCCCACTTCCCAACCTCATCGTCACAACTGTAACAGAGAGAGAGAGAGAAAGAGAGAGAGAGAGAGAGAGGGAGAGAGAGAGAGAGAGAGAGAGAGATGCAATGCAATATGAACAGCAAACACACAAGGAACCCCGCATGACGATGAGGTTGGGAAGTGGGTGCCACTTACACCAGAATACGCCTACAACGTCCTCGTATATGGCTCTCACTTCCCAACCTCAACGTCACAAGTGTAGGTGGAGAGAGAGAGAGAGAGTGGTAATTGAAGGGAGGGAGAGAGAGAGAGAACGTATATGGCCACGAAAGGGTGGTCACAGCTAGCATGCAAACATGATGTCCACGTCAACAATGTGTATGAGAGTGTCAGTGTACCCTCATTGTGTGTGTGTCCGTGGGTGGGGGGAGGAGTCACAAGCTTGGGAGGTGTGTGTGTTCATCTTTTCTTTGTTGTCTGGAATGAGTGAGTCACGAAATTTATCGACCGGAATGCTCCTCTCTGCTCCAATGGGACACATGCATACATGAATATGAATAAAGAGGTCTCCGATAGGCAAATACCATAAATCCAAACATAACACCATCACATTTCCAACACGATTCATCACACCACCATCACATTTCCATCACGATTTCCAACATAAAGTCTTGTGTTCAACTGTTGATAAATAGTTTGCCAACACATAGCTCAACCTTCCAAATGTAGTTCAACAGAATATAAACAGTTTCTCAATAGTTTACCAACCACAAAGTTCAACTGTTTATCCTGTCACTTCATGTGGACTACATAAGTCACGCACGTTGGTTTCCTTCACTTCCTGTTGAGCATGGTGCATGTGCCAAGATAAACAGTTGAAAAACAGTTTTTAAACGGTTGTTCGGGGGTGA